TTTTTGCTGTACAGTTTTCTCCACTTGCTTCCCATAGGTTCTACTGATTAGCCTACCAGACAATATACCATGACGAATTGAGGCAAAGGTTCGCATCCCAGGTATGTGTATAGATTGAGAAGAAGAGGCCGTGTCGATCACCGGAATCATAGTTTTATTAATCTGAGCTTTCGAACTCTTGCGGGAGTCCATCGTCAGTGATAAAATCGGCAACGAAAACAAGCAACATTTGTAGGGGGAAGGGGCCAATTAACCGTCATAGGGGCAGGGGGAGGGACACAACCAATTAACCACCAGTGCCGCGAGTCTGGAGATACCTGCGCAGATTGCCCTCCCCCTATGATGGTTAATTGGCCCCTTCCCTCTAAAAAGGTTGCTTGCTTTCGTTGCCGGTTGTATCTCTGACGATGGACTACCGCAAAAGTTCGAAAGCTCAGACTAGTAAAACTATGATTCCGGTGATCGGCACGGCTTCTTCTTCTCAATCGATATACCATGACTCTGGTGCTTCTGCATCGATTTGTTGTTCTGTACGGATTCAACTTGTTACATTCTTGCATTCGTTCTTTATGTTATGCGGCGAAAGGTAGCAGCTGACAAGCAGTTGCAAAATCTTTTGATTCCAATAAATCCTGCATGTTTATTCAAAAAAAAACAATGAACTCTGGTTAATCCGTCTGGGTCGGCATAGGTTGGATGGTTTAAATGACGTGGGATTAAAGTAGAACATAAGGGTAACTTATATGGTCCCCTAAAGAGGGCGTGAGAACAGGAACCGCCCGCGATACGTGGGTAGTATTAGGGGTCAGTTTGGGACCAGGTTTAAGGTTAGGCTTAAGGTTGGCGTTCAGGTAAGTAAGGGTTCAGTTCAGCGTTAACGTTAGGATGCGTGCAAATTTGAAGGGTTATTGTGTAGAGTAAGGTTAGGGTTAAGCTTAGGATTACACCTTAGGTCTATGGCGGGGTTAGTGCGGGGATTAAAGCACGGGTATATTTACCCTTCCTGAAATGGTGTGCGAGGCTACCCATCCTATTTTCATCTCCTGTTTAGGAGGTCATATAAGTAATCCTTATCAAAAAGAAACCCTTCTTTTCCCTGGTGAAAATTTGAAGACTGTATAAACAGCGAAATTTAATGGATCCATAAATTTTGAGAGCCCTCTCGAAATTTATGGATCCATTAAATTTTGCTGTTTATACAGTCTTCAAAAAGAAACCCATCCACGTAAGACGTCCTCACGGCTGGGTTCTTTCTTTCTTCTTAGATTCACTTTTTACAGTGCGTGTCCTCAGGTCCTTTCCTGTCCACGCCTAACACGCATAGTTGCAGGCAGCGGCAGGTCTATTTTTCTGGACTGTCAGTTTTTCATTGAATGTAGTAGAGCATTTTTCCGACATTGTTGCTTTTGTCTTTGTATTCTGTCGATAGGTGGAGTGAATATGTCCCCAGGCCAACCAACCTTAATTTCAACTAGCAAACGAACACCAAAAACGATTAGTGTAGAATATGTCGTTCTGGTCTACCTACCCTCAAGCACCCAACGCCGTACGATCCAGCCCGGCGCAAGCCTACCATCGCAATAAATCAATTCATACTTACTATAGTGTGAGAAACAGGGTATACATCGTCGGCATTAGTAATCGAACTGTCAGGTAAAAAGGCATAGATAGCTACAACCTGTTTGTGGACGCATATAATAGAAAGTGCCACATGGCTCCCACCTCACAGGGCGTGGGCGCAGGAATCAGCCACAATCCAAGTGGAATTGCCTCGTAGACTCAAAGGAATTAGGGGCAGGCTTAAAGGAAAGGTCGGAATTAAGATTGCCTGAGGGTTGAGACAAAGGAACAATTACCCTTCCTGGAATTTGGTGTCAGGCCAACTGTGTTACGCAGAGGGCTTATCTGTTCTCGTGTCCAGTGGGGCGGGTATATATGCAATGCCGACCGACATGCAGTAGCTTCCGTATTTCATGAAATGTCAACCGAAATTCTGCAATATGTTTTCGATTCGAACAAATGACTTAAAACTGATTATCGCGCAGCCTAATCGCAAGATATTTCAGTCATGGCAAACTGCCGGCTTTTAGACGGGCTTCTTTTTGACCACACACCCTGTACAAATGGTTAATTAACTAATATGCATTTTATCATCGATAAGGTGAATGAAATAACTTCGGATTGGACAGCACTGTAGTAAATATTACAACCTCCCTTAGTAACACCTTTTTTCGAAGCAAACACGCATTTCAGAATTTCGGTTGCCATTTCATGAGATAGGGAATATACTGTATTTTTCTCATTAGAAAATGGCCCCGAACTCTAGTCACCAAAGACATCTAAAACTGTATAATTAAGGCTAGTGAAGAATAGTTATTTTACCAAGCTGCTGCTTCTAGTTCAATGTCAGGACTGGGTGTAGCATGGAGTTGCAAATAAAACGACGAGTTAACCTTACCTCCACTGCTGGGATGGTATTCGTAAAGGGCGTACTTCCCCGCTTTGAGTTGACGAAGGTCAGGATGAAACTTCTCAACGAGAACGTTCACAAGATGTCGCGCCGTGGCAAAACTCGAAATACGCACGCATTTGGAATGGTACTTGTCGTCTGGTCCGTGGAAGTAGAACCGCACGACCCCGAAGAACTCCATGTTCTGGACGCAAACAAAAATAAATATTTAGCAATGGCGACGTAATATGATCAAGAGCATGTACTTTAGAAACGAGCAGATATGAAAAGCTTCAAGAGTGCATCACGGTTCAACTTCGACAGCTCTTTCAGGATAAGGGAAACTTTGAAAAAAGGGGAACAGACAATGTTTTAAATGTTTACGTCCCTAGTCTTCCAGCTTAGCAATAAGTGCCCAAAGTAGTATTGGCCTTTGACTGGTTAAACATGTGTTTCCTGATATCACACTATTCGATAAAGTGTCTGACAGTTGAAGTAGTCTGTTATTTCTTCAATTTAAATATTTTAGTTAGATAGCTCACGATAAGCACGAAATGCACAGTCCCCTTGAAAATCCGGAAAACGTTCCGTCATTTAAGTTTCAATAATAAAGGACAAGGCAATTGAGGTGCGACACGGAAACAACTGTCTTTTGACTGTATACGTTACCTATCATGCATTGTCTTACTCAATTAGATGTCTTGGTTGATAAAAGCACAGAGTGAATTTACTAGTATCGAAGTTAGATGCGAAGTAGATGGCTTCCCCTTCTTACTGTTTTCCAAATAAATGAGCTTTTCAAACCAACCTTTCAGCACATTTCCGGAGGTCTGAACTAGAAACTCCAATCATTTCGAGTCACCTCTGTTTCCACTATTCAGACATTCTGGGTTTCAAAACCAAGTCGATTTCTTAATAAGTATACTGCGTACGTCAAAATATTCGTGATAAACATTCTTTGTTTTTTAGATGACAAAGCGAGATAAACTTTCAGTGTTGGCCGATAGGCAGTTCAAAACAACATTAATCGGGTTCTAAATACCTGCGAGAGGGGCCATGAGGGAGAATATCTTGAAGTGATTGGTGACAGCTCAAGATTACAAAAGGCTTCATTTCATAAAAAGTAGCTCCTGTAGGAGAGGACAATAATACTGAAGGCTCTCGAAAAGTTGAATATTATTATCGTCCACATCTTCAAGATATATGTGCGTCAGTCGGTTAAGACGCCTTTGGACAGAAGTCTCTTTTGCATCATAAGGAGTGAAAACTCAGATAATAATCGTACTTGTTTTCTGGGTAATTTCCGAAAAGTGTATCGTTGCTCTCTTCAAAATTTGTTCAAAGGTAGACCTTGGCCGCATAACCGCGCAGAGAGTCAAAGTCCTTTTAGGAGTGCTAGATTTCATGCTCTCAGACCTTTTGTGAAAGATGCTGTAGGAGCATAATGCACCGGGACTGTTTACAGTCGCGATATGATAAATATGCTGAGTGTTGCGAAAAGTTCCGCCGCCTCGGTGGATATAAGTCTCTTCTGGCCAAGCAGTAGACATCAGAGGAACGCATTTTTGGCGTTTGACTTACTCAACAGAGACTACGAGGAATCAAGCTCTAAAAGCGCACAGTCAAGAATGAACTAAACGTGGAAATAATACGAGAGCAGTTTAAGTGGTTAGATGCTTGAGCGGACACGAAACAGCAAGACCCTAGCTACGTCAACTTAATTAGTTATGTGTTATAGAAAAGACCATTAAACAGGATAAACTTGTGATTGGTTATAGAATCGATGATTTGCGCGGTCGGTGGACATAAACTCAACCGTTCACTGTCGCCCTTAGTTGGTTTTACAAGGCAGTCAGAATTTTTCAACTTATATATTCACATATCCTCCTGCTTTAGATGCACACATATAGTTATTACTGAAGGTAAGACCGCGTTAATTTCAAAAGCAGGCCTAGAAGCTGCCTCAATTATACCATTAAAATCAGCCAGGCGGTATAATATTACCTTGTAGCCAATACAAGCAAAAACGGGGATCCCAGGATGTAATTAAGAAGAAGCAGCTGTGATCGCTGGGACAAGAACTTAATTCGCCCGACGTTTTGGATCCCGCCACGGTTCCATAATCAGAGACAATAGGAGAAACGGGTAATTCATCGGGAATTGGCGTAATTTCTTCGCACTTTGTGAGGTAATTTGCGTTTGAGAATTCTTCCAGTTTCTCCGATATAGTTGCCTTGTCCGCAGCTGCTCCTATAGACGACTCCAGATGCTTCCTGCCATGGCAGTGGATCTTTTAGTTTCGACAAGCCCCGACCACAAATTCAAATTTGATGAGGCCAAAATTCTCTCGAGGGGTTACCATCGTGTGAGCCGCGAATTATTTGAATTATAGTTTACGGGCCGCAGCCTGTAAACAACTGCAAAGACTTGCACAACCCATATTTGGTGCTCAGGCTCAGTTTGGGCAAAGCATTTTGCCACAGACGATGGCGTCGTCTAAAGCCTGTCAGATGCCATCTATTCAGCCAGATGGCTGAACAATCATCATGCTCAAGTCCAGCACGGGTGATGAAGTTTCAGTGGGTCACGACCCGCATGCCGACCATCTAACAATTAGCACAGAAGCGGGCAACTATCCTCGATATGGGTAGGCCACTAATTGTCATAAGCACTCAGTAGAATAGTGACTATATCCTATAAATACTGCAATTTCCCGTTAATTAATCACTGGTTTCAGCGACGGAATCCGAAGCGTCAGGCGAATAACGTTTGTGTCCCAGCGACCACATCTACTTCATCTCAATTACTTTGTAGGCTGGTTCATTCGATTACTGCGCAAGACTAACAGATAGGGCCGGAGCCCTTTTCTCCAACGCAATCTTGCTAGTAGTATATGGTGTTCTGTGTCCGAAAAGCTTCGTGTAACGCTAAATCAAATCTGTTGTTTTCTGACATCGTTTGTCCACAACTGGCCTCAGGAACTTATTCTTTTGTAGACTCAGACTCTATAAGTGGTGTTTAGTAGACCATATGCGTGATAATTCTAAAGAAGCCAAACAAGAATTAGTGGAGCAAGTCTGAGTCATGTGGCTCATGCTGTAAGGATAAGGATGAGCTTTAGCAGGTACGGGTCACCTGTATCTGCTACTGCTCTATAATTTTATCTCTGATGACGAAGCCGCGACGGATCTCGCAACGTCAGGCGTATCAAAGTATTGTCCCAGCGATCGAGTCGCCTTCTTCTCGATAAGGATGAGCTTGCCACGTCGGACTAGCCAATTTAGGTTGACTGGTCCTAACTGCCGGTTTGTTCCTCAACATCCGACTGCATTTTTACGGCCGCGCTACTCCTACTTATGCGAAAAAAGCAATCTATAATCCCAGCCACTTGCGAAACGCCCTCTTTCAGCTGAGGGCAACGTTTTGGATCTTTAGCTTTTCTTTTAAATGCAAATTGTGGAGAGTTGTTTTTTTCGGTTATTAGTAATGCATGACTGTTTCCTTTCCTTCAACAGCACTTGACCGAGGCTTTTCCCCATTGACACATTGTGCTTGAAACACTTGGAAACTTTGATTTCGGATACATTGCGCTATGCATGAGCAAAATCAATATCAGATGGTAAAATGGCAATAGTGGACTAGATACCGAATTTTCTGACTCAAGGGCGATCATATAAAACGATATTATAGTCGCAATTCATCGAAGAGACGGTCATTACGTATATTGCAAACGAATCACAGCCACCCTTAAGACCGAATGATCCTGCGTTTTTGACTGTATCCAAGATAGAGGCCAGGTTGGGACCTCTTTAAATAAGTTTGCTCATGTTTCAGGTTAAACTAGCCCTTACTTCTCATTCGTAACTTACTTCAATTGCAGGCTTGTGATTTGACAGATGCTAGGATTGACTTCGCAGTTTACTTGACTTTGGCGCCTTAAGGTCGCTTGTTGGCAGCTAAAAACACCTTTGATTTAAGTCTTGGCCAGGGAGGCTCTTCCAGCAAGCTGTCATGCTTTTAAAGATATTAGACTCCTTAAATTTGAGAAGCCAAATTTCCTAGAACATTTACTAGGCAATCAAATAAAGCTTGAGTGAGACGCAGGCCGACGCATCCTCAGAGTGAGTCAACGGAGACTGCGGTGGCGGCGTCACAAGTGGTAGTGAGGTGCAGATCAGACGCAGCGCCACCAACATTATTGGCAGGTTACGCACAAGGGAAAGAGCGGCACATACTGAGCGTTGTGGGTCTGAGCATTCCAGTCTCTGAATATGGGTAGACGAAACAACTGCCCAAAACGCCACACACCCAATACACCTCTGCCGGTGAACGCCTTCTTCTTTTGAAAGTTATATGAATTATCTAAAGGGTAGTTTTAAGCATCTAACCTCAATACTTTGATTCCCAAACCCATTTTGCACGCATATCAGCTCTCTCAAGTTTGGCAGGAATACTTACCTATCTCAATAAATGTCATCCTGAAGTATAAAATGTGTTTTCGATTCCAACGAAGGTTGTAATACTGATTATAATATGGCCTAATGTTAACATATTTCAGTCTTATTAGGATGCCAGATTTTGAAATAGCTTCTTTCTGAGTGCCCGCAAAAGGTACACTCTGCAAATAAATTGCTACTTATGTAGTATGCATTTTTATCATCGATTGTAAAGGCTTCTATAGATTCAAATACATTCAATAGAAAACATGGAACAAATGTAAATGCTTGTACTCATGTTGTAGAAACTCACGTCTTCGCTGAATTTTATACTTGGAAAGAGTGTATTTTTGATTCAAAAAGGTTTGGAATTATGAGAGGTTTAAGACCATGAAATGCTCATACATAACGCATCGTATCGATCAATATAGTAATGTTGCCTATAAAGTATACAGCATGATCGATACCCACCGAAAAATTTTATGAGCAGTATGTGACCTCGTTGTTTTAGCGTGGAGAAATGTTTGATTTTCCTTAGACCGAAGATATGCAGGATCTACTTAGGAATCCTTAAATTCAAGCGTAACGGCCTGTGGGGTTCAAACTTGTTTGGTAATTTAGAAATGTTTTTATCAATAAAAGTGGGCTTTCTTCAAGCATAACATTTAAAGAAGTATTTTTCTACCAAATGAATACAAGGAAGGATATTTCTGTGTTGTTTATGAAATATGTTTCCATTTATGAGGGCATCAAATGTCCACGAGAT